TACGTAGTTGAAAGAAAACACACCTTTATTAGGGCGGGGTTCGTAGGCCCAGCTGATGTGGTCGTCTAAGAACTTAACTTTTAAATCCAAGATCTCTAAACGGCCCCTCAAGGTCCTCTCATGTGTAAACTTCAAATCATTAAAGCAGGCCGCAAACAAGTCCATCAAGTCATCCACCATATTATTCGTAAGCTCATTCTGTGGGTGGACAATGACGAGGTAATCATGAACCTATCTGAAGATCTTAAAAACGCCTTCACCCCCTGAGTCATTCAAGAATGGCTTTGTCGCAATGACCTAAGGAAATATTACACAGGACGGGAGCGATACGCAAACAAATAAAGATAGCTTGTTTTTTTGCAAAACAGAGAAGAAAAACCCTTACAACCAAAAAAGAAAAAGCTATGCTCAAAAAAAAAAAAAAATAATACTAGTTCCATGAAGCCCTTCACACTCAGCCCGCACGAGATCCTGAAAGCAATTTCCACGTTACTTTCAATACAACACTTTATTGCGCTAAAAGGGGCCGGGTGGGGACAAACAACAGAACAAGTCCTTAACATTAGTCGAAAGGCCGTCAGAACTCTCTCTGCATCCGTCTTTTAAATATTCAATCACTTCCTCTGCTTTGCGAACCAAGAATATCTAGCCCTTCTTGTTTTAGAGAAGGTGGTGCTATTAAGCAACAAGCTTTCCCTAACCCTAACCATATTCTTCGCGGCCAAAACACACAAAGTAAACGTCCCGTTTAGGGCAATAGTAACGGCCAGGGATACGTAGCAGCTACAGACTTCCACCTTTCTTAAGGGTCTGTTATTCTCCGACGCCAAGTTTAGCAAACGCGGCGTAGCACTGCGGACACAAATCCTGACTGGTCGCAGATAATGAGTTCCTGCTCGCCGGCCAATAGAACGCGCGCGTTCTACACCACGCCACATTCGCTACGCTCGACGTCGGAGTACAACAGAGCCTTTAAAAGCCAGCCATCTAATCTGAAACTGCAAGATAATTTTTCGGTTAGCAACTGAGAGAAAGGGATTGAATATTTAAACGCTGTGGCTAGCGTTACGTCCGGACGGAGCACTGAAACGCGTATACCTAACCCTCCTCCCGCCCTCCTCTCTCTCCCCCGTGAACCTACGGAAGGCGGAGATTTGGACGCAACTTGGGTTACGTCGGACGTAACGCTAGACACTTCGATATTTTTTTTTAAAAGAAGGATGCAGAGACATGCGTGACGCCTCTTCGATTCACGTTGAGGACCTTTTCTATTCAGTCCCCCACCCGGCCCTTTTTAGCGCAGTAAGGATTGTACTGAAAGTAACGGAGAAATCGCTCACAGAGCTCTTGCGGGCTGAGTGTGGAGGCTTCGTGGAATTGTTGTCTTTCTATCTTGAGCATAGCTTGTCTCGTTTAATAATAAAGTTTTGTGTGTGTGTGTGTGTGTGTGTGTGTGTGTGTGTGTGTGTGTGTGTGTGTGTGTGTGTGTTTTTGTTGTTTTTTTTTTGCAAAAACAAGCCCTCTTTTATGGTTCGCATATCGCCCTCGTCTTGTGTAATATTTTCCTAGCTTATTGCGACAAAGTCATCCTTGAGAGACTCGGGGTGATGACGTTTTTAAGATTTTGAGATATGCTAATGATTATCTCGTCATCATCCCGCCCACAGGATGAGCTCGCGAATAAGATGGTGGATGACTTGATGGAGCTGTTTGCGTTCTGTTCTAATGGTTCGAAGTTTACACATGAGAGGACCTTGGGGGGCTGAAACGGTTATACATGATGATTGAAACCTGAGACTGTGGTTTGAAAAACGGAACACTCGTGAAGGAGGGAGAAAAGGGGCACACAACATCTCAAACTCAGCTACAAACTTAATTGTCTCTATGCCTTATGTACTGTACACCTCCCCCGAATGTCGCCACCACTACAAGGGATGATCACCGAACCGCAAACAATACACCAGAACCAAAGGGAGGCGTGTTTTATAGTTTCCATTTTCCCTCAGTACACCGGGTGTATCTGTTTTCTATTTTGGACCCAGTGCACTGGCTGAAGATGGAAACGGTAGGGCACGCTTCTATTTGGTTTTGGTATATTGTTTGCGGTTCAGTGTATTCGGGTTCTGGTTTATTGTTTGCGGTTAAGTGATCATCCGCTGTGGTGGTGGTGACGTTCGGGGAAGGGATGTATAAGGCGTAGAGACAATGAAGTGTGTAGCTGAGTTTGAGACGTTGCCTGTCTCTGTGTCTTCCTCCCTCACGAGTGTTCCGTTTTTTAAACCACAGTCTCAGGTTTCAATCATAATGTATAACTAGGGTTCCCTGTTTTCGGATAAATCCGACAAAATCCGAAAAAAACACTCTCAGGTAAATTTCCGTCAAGTTGGATTTAACCGAAAAACTCCGAATTTTGAGGCCACAGCGACAAAATAAACTGCAAAAAAGACGTAGTTTTACGACTAAACTTTATAAGAGCGGAGCACAAGGACTGTTGCCCCGAGGAAATTCCACTTCAGTTTCCTTTGAAATTTGTAACTACTGACAAAAAGGTATTTGCTTTTTAGCACGTCGAGGTTCCTTCGGGACAACGGGTAATGGTACCCTGACCTTATTTATTTTGTTTACAAATTTTTAAATTTTACACAGTAAAATTAACTCCGAATTTCGAAGAGTTGGGAATCTAACAAAAATAAACTTCGATAAATCCCGAATTCCCAGCGAAAAATACACTCCGAAAAACACACTCCAAATTTATTAAAGAATAAAATCCGTAATCACGGGATCCTATGCATAACTTACACAAGCTCGCCTGCATTTATACCGTTTTTTTCATTGTTTACGGTTCTTTGATGTAAAACTTAAGTTCTTGGACGACCACATCAGCTGGGCCTACGAACCCCGCTATAAGAAGGGTGCGCTCCTTTCAATTCCGCACACATCAAGTTAGTTAAACGAGCTATTGCCTCATCGTGCCTATGAGCTGCTTTGGAGAATCTTTCCAGATTAAATGGGCCGAAGCTTTCTCAGACAAATTGATCGGCTCTTGAAAGCGGGTTTTCCGCAGAGGTCCTTAATGGAGCTGCTGAGGGCTTAAAGAAAAAATACAATGGCACTGAGAGCAATGCTCGTGAGCGCCGAAAAATAATGCCTGCAGTAATTCTTTACATTCACGCGATATTTCATGACAAGAAAGTTGCTGAACATTACGACGTTCCCGTTGGTTTCTTGGCAGCTTACAAGCTCTCCGGATAATGAAAAAAAAAAATCAATGTCCCAGAAGGAGAGGCGGATGAATGTAAGAACACAGCACAGAAACAAGGTTATGGATTGCAAAACTAGGGTTATGTACGGAATTCCACTTTCCCGCGGGCGCTCCGATGTGGGCCAAAAGGGGCGTTGCATGAATGACCACGCTAGAGAACATGCTGCCTCATTAAAGCAGTCACCGTCAAGACATTTGGCAGTTCACTGCAACCCGTTTGAGCTTTCCTGACACGGCGATTATGGGGCGACACAGCGAAAAACTACAAGACAAATCCATGAGACATGTAATCAAAACAAGGAGAACCGATGAGAGTGTAAGCGAGGCTTCATTGACCTTCATAAATAAAGAACTTTTATTTTTACAGCATAAGTGGGCATCTTGGAATTGATGGGTTTATTTATTTTAATTGTATTTAAGACAACGCTCAAAAAAAAAATTGGTTGCGAGTGCGCCTTGTATTGTCGTTCTGGACCTTGTTCCTCTTTTTGGCACTTAAATGTACGTGATGAATCAAATAGCCCAACTCGCCATTTTGTCGCTCTCGATGGTTTGAACCAACGTTACTAGAACAACTCAGTTGGGAAACTGTCATAGGAGCCTGCTTTGAAAAAGTGACTCCGATCTTTACTTGACAACCAAACCTGACGCGATCACACCGCCGCCACTTCTCCCGCAGCGGCCACCGCGGGAACTGCATGGCTGCGCCTAACGGTTCAGTCGAGCCGCGCAAGGGCCGGTATCGCCATCTCTCAGTGCCATCTCGCAGTGGCTATATAAAGCAACTTTCATGTTTTGACTCGCCGCTCAAGGACGGTGCTGTAATTGTATCTAGTTTGGTCTCGGTGGGCGGGAGCGGTCCGGGTTTCAAAGGAGAGTTTCCCAACTGAGTGTTATAGTAACTTTGGTTTGACCTACTCCCTCTCTTAAAGCTAGGCTCTCTATCTATTACTTGCGCAGTTTGAGAAAAATAAACAGGTTAATAAAGATGTTAATTAGCTAGGAAAATTCAAGAAGGTGAAGATATACGCAAAAATAAATTTACTTTCACGTAATAATCTGAACGTATAATAAGCTTCAACTTCTGTCTGACTGGTCCTGTCTCTAGAGCCTGTTCCTTCCCCTTGACATGCTGAACACTGTAAAGTTTTCAGTTCACTGCAACCGGTGTGAGTGCAGTCCATGTTCTCCTGACACAGCGACTCTGGGCGGCACATCGAAGAAACTACAAGAGAAATGCGTGAGATATAGGTCATCAAAGCAAGGGAACCATAAGTGTGTAATCAAGCCGTCGCCTTGATAGATAAGAAACATTTATATTTAGAACATGAGCGGGCGCTTCTTCTAAATTATGTTTCTTTCTCTAATTGGTATTTAAGATTATGCATTTCAAATAAAATTTCAGTTGCGAGTGTGCTTTCGATTGCGGTCGTTCTTTACCTTGTCCTTGTTTTTTGGCGCTTAAATGTAAGTACATGGAGATCGTTTACGATTTTATGGCAGACGCCTCCTGCAAATATTAGTCGCAAGTGCGCATGCGTTGCGTAGTCACGACGTGAGGACGGAAGCGGGCAGAAAGACGAAAGCGCTTGCAGATGGTGAACGCCTTCGCCACCTTCTCGCAGTCCGTATTGCGAACGCGGCCCAAAAATCCCGTGATCCTGATCAAGCCGTTGAAGACACACTGTAAACGAAACACACTAGCAGAAAAACAAAACAAAACAAACAAGCGACTCACCATCAACACGGAGATGAAGGTGGCCGATCCTGGGGCCACGAAGGTGACGTCTTGAGTGATGTCCTCCTCGGCCCATGGGTGGTGGATCATGATCAGGAAGCCAGCCTCCACCGTCAGGGGCAGGTACTCTTCCAGTTGCACGTTTAGCAACAAATGAAGTCCTGCGTAGTGAAATACACACACAAACCCAGGGATATTGGGGTAGTAGTGTACCTGCCACAGGTTTTATGCCCTGGCTTCCGTGTTACAAGAAGTACACCATTATCCGGCAGGTTGGCACTTCAGCTCCATGTTTCAGTAATAAAAGCCGGCTACCGGATAGCCAAACAGATATGTTTTTAGTTTAAGACTCGCCACATATTAAGCACTGCAGAAATTCCGTCATCTGCGATAATTCCTCATTTCAATCTCTTTATGTTCACGTTCAGCTCATGGAAAAACTCAAGGAAAGAGCCCAAGCAGGCATTTAATCTAGCCACACTGCCGTGTTGCTCCGCACAATAAAGTCCGTCTGCTATGATCACCGTCACTAGAGTGTACTAGACCGTCACCATGACAAAGAAGCATCTCCTGAATAGACGTGCACGCGAACGCAGACAATGAAGCCAACAATGGCGGGCGACATCTGCCGAGCAGTCTGTTATAGATAGACTGTACTAGAAAGGACGAATGGGGCCACCGGAGTGCTATTTTTGCACCTCCGCATGTGGGAAACAAACGGCTAATCCAAGCCACTTCGCTCGTAGCACCCTCTCGGTTGCTATAATAATAATAATAATAATGTTTATTTTCCGTCAAAACACAAATGACGGAGGGAGACCGAGGAAAAAAGCTGCATCATGCAGCTTGACGGGCCCTCGGCCCCCCCTCCTTACACATGGCAGCAGTGGCACAAGTAATCCAAAAAGAAAACCATGAGAAAAGATAACAATTTCAGAGATAAGAACAGGACAATATTACAAAAAAGGTGCGACTATATATAAAAGGCAAACAAAATCAAAGCACATGCAAGCAAAGCATTATACAATTCAGCAAAAATTTAGTTTATGAAACATGACAACTAAGCAATCACATTTGGAAAAGAAAAAAATGCTCGGAGATTTTTTACAGATGTTGTCGGAAGGTCAATGTTGTGAGTAACAAGAAAATTAAGCAGTCGAGGAAGTGCATACTTTAACATTTGTTCACCGTAGTTAGTTTTGCAAATAGGGAGCGTCCAAATTTCCGTGTTTCGAGTAGGATATGTTGCTACTCTTAGCGAGAGAGACGCCAATTCACTAAGGGCATGAAGATTTGTTTGTACTTCGGATTTATAAGTCATGCATAAACGATATTTATATAATCTATTTACAGGCATCAAATTTAAACGTTTAAAGAGAGGTTCGCTAGGGTGATCGTATGACACGTTACAAATACTTCGCAATATTTTCTTTTGTATCACAAGTATTTTGTTTAAATTTGTATTCGTAGTAGTACCCCAGACTAAGAAGGAATAATGAATGTGGGAGAGAAACAATGCATTATAAATAATTAATTTTACATTTGTGGGCAGAATATGGCGATGACGATACATTAAGCCGGCGACTCGTGACAATTTTACCGAAATATAATTTACGTGTTCATCCCAACTCATTCGATCCGTGAATATAACGCCAAGTGTCTTAAAACTAGATACAATCTCTATTTTGGTTCCATTTAAAACAATATCAGTAGTTATATAATCATTCTTACTTTTTGGGCGAAATAAAATTGCTTTTGTTTTGTTATCATTTATTTTTAAAGCATTACATTGACTCCAAGTAGCGAGGTCTTTCAACGTTTGATTTGCCTTTATTGCTAGTTCCTGACAGCAGTTACCGGTAAAAAATAAACTTGTATCATCAGCGTAAATTACGTATTTAACACTTTTATTAATATTGACAATATCGTTAACATATAAATTAAAAAGGAAGGGACCTAATATGCTTCCTTGTGGAACGCCAAATAGAATGGGTTTAATGTCAGATGAATAACCATTTATATGAACGTACTGTTTACGATGTGCAAGATAAGATTTTATGAGAGTAGATGCATGTCCACGAAATCCATACATTTGTAATTTTTTTAGTAGCAGACTGTGATTTAAGTGATCGAATGCTTTGCTGAAATCAATAAAAATACCAAGAGTCATTTTTTTTTTCTTCAAAGCTTTTCAAGATGTATTCTTTTTGCTCCAGGAGTGCCAATTCTGTGGAACGGTGTTTGCGAAACCCAAACTGTGATGGAGAGATTAAACCGTGTTTATCTGCGAAATGTACCATACGCGAAAGTAGAATTTTTTCGAGGCCTTTTGAAAACACTGATAAAATTGAGATTGGCCTGTAGTTACCTATATCATTCTTGTCACCTTTTTTATAGAGAACGCTAACTTTCGCAATCTGCATTTTTTGGGGAAATACCCCATTGTACAAGCACAAATTAAAGATATACGTCAAACAGGGCGATATGAGATCTAAAACGTATTTTATCGGACCTATTTGTAACTCGTCAGCGTCGCAGCTGCTACTATTCTTTAGTAATAAATTAAATTAGCCATTTTTTTACGAAACAGGCGCTGCGTTCTTGCGCCAAGCTCGACCGGCACACTCGTCAAGGTCGTAGGTGCGCGAAATACCATCGTCATCGACACTGACCGAAGCTGCCTGCGCCGCCCCTTCAGCGGTCCCGCTTAGTGGGCGAGACAGCACTCGAGGCATGCGGTCACAGGCAAACAAGCTCTTGCTCGCATTCCAGATCTTTGCATCGTGGATTGTGCAGCCGGCAAGCGACAATGTGACGACAAGTCTGGCTCAGCAGTTTCTTCACAACGCAGTTCCTTTCACCAACTGCGCTGAAGCCACCGGACTGCCGCTGACAAAGAGGAGTGCTGGACTGTGCCCGTTGGCTTGGCAGGCGCTTTCGCGCGAAATACCATCGTCATCGACACTGACCGAAGCTGCCTGCGCCGCCCCTTCAGCGGTCCCGCTTAGTGGGCGAGACAGCACCCGAGGCATGAGGTCACAGGCTAACAAGCTCTTGCTCGCATTCCAGGTTGGTAAAAAAACCTTCCTACGCGAAAGTAAAAAGTAACTATATTTGGCTTGTGGTGCTGCCTCACCCGGGAGCGTTGTGTGAATGTGTCGCTGCTTGTTTTGACTCGCTTTCCGTTCTTGTCCTTTTACTCAGCGGTGATGTAGAGGAAAACCCGGGTACGCTAGCTGAGGAGCAGTTAAAGGCGATTTTTGACGGCCAAAAAGCCCTGAACAGTAGTATGAACTCGACCAAAGAAAGACTAGAACAGCACATTACACATGGCGGGTTCGAATCCCGGCCGAGGTGCCCGCAGTCTGACGGAGGCTTATTGCGGAGAAGACGCCGTGTAACCGAGCTTTCGGTTGCACGTCAAAAGATCCCCAGGTGGTCGAAATTAATCCTCAGTCCTCCGCTGGGGCGTGCCAGATGCCCGTTGTTGGTTGGCACGTAAAACTCCCAAATTTGAATTTTTTTTTAGCACATTACACAAACTAATGAGAGGCTCTCATCTATTGAAAGAAAAGTTGAAAAAATTGAAACTCAAGTTAAAGCTACCTCGGATTCAGTTCCCAAACTTGAAGCGTGCGAGAGGGTCGTTCACCACCCCAGTAACCAAGTCTTGACATTAGGTGACAGGATCACTAGACTGGAAAACTATAATAGACAAAATAACTTAATAGTGTATGGACTCGACGAGGACACGTCAGAAACAAACGATCTGCTAAAAGAAAAGGTGATAATGGATATTTTTGAAAACAAACTTGGGGTGAAAGTGCCCTCTACAGAAAAGATACATCGGCTTGGGAAACAACATGAAACGAAATTCGGCAAGTTATGATAAGATTTTCCTCACGCCATGAAAAAGCTGAGGTCATGACGAACGCATACAAGCTTAAGGGTTCTGTCTTATCGTTATCTGAAGTAAGGGAAAAGCGTCGTCATCTTTGGGCATAAGCGAAGGCTCAAAAGAGTGATCCAAGCAATAAGGTCAGATTAACCTATGATAAACTTATAATAAACGGTCAAATGATTACTTGGAATGCTGAAATAGACAAAGTAGTTGCCGCTAAGCGTGCATAACGTCCAAGTGCTGTTAGAAAAATTTAATAAACGGTCAAATGTTTACTTGGAATGTTGAAATAGAGAAAGTCGTTGCCGCTAAGCGTGCATAACGTCCAAGTGCTGTTAGAAGAATTGTGCGAAGGAATGTTATAATGTATAATGTTATAGCGTCAAAAATAAAGTGGAAGACTTGTATGGATTGATTATCTCTGTAAAAGTCGATATAGTCCTGGGAACAGAGTCCTGGTTAGATAGCTCTATATCAGATCACGAGGTATTCCCTAGCCTATTTAACGCTTATAGAAAAGATAGGTCATCACATGGGGGAGGCGTCTTTATACTGGTTCATAGTTCCTTGAAAAGCTGCCAACTAGACGTGCCAGGCAATACTGTCGAATCAGTGTGGTGTAGTGTTGGGCTGCCTGATAAGAAGAAATTCACTGCTGGAGTGTTCTATAGACCCCCTAACTCTGACTCAGCTGTCATAGAGGTACTTCACGACCTAGTATCCAGTGTTTCGGATGACAGCGTAGTGCTTGGAGGCGATTTTAATCTACCAGATATGATATGGGGCAAAGAACTTTGTGCATGTGGAACCATGGGCCAGTTGAATCTCGATCTCAAATGCATGGTAGACAGCTTAGCACTTAAACAGCATGTTCTTGTACCTACACGGAATCAAAACACACTTGACTTGTTTCTCTGCAACTACCCTACCGTTGTTAAGCAAACTGATGTCATACCCGGTATCAGTGACCACCGTGCTGTTGTCTCAACTCTTGACTTTCGGGTTTCGCGCGAAAAAGTGAGTGCGGGTAGAAAAGTGCTGTTATATGAAAAAGGTGATTATGAAGGGATCAGTTCTGAACTTTCGAACAATTTCCTTTCCTTCGAATGCCTTGCTGAGGAGATGAGTGTTCATGACATATGGGTAGTCTTTAAACAGAGAATTATCAGTTTAACTGAAAAATACGTTCCAAGCATAGACTCGTCGAAGTTAAAAAAGAGAGAAAAACCATGGATTACCGGTAGCCTACTGCGGCTGATA